CGGTCAAACATGCGGCCGGGGCTGCTTCGTTAAAGGTCACTTCCTGTTGCCAGCAGGTGGCGCTATGACTGTGGGTAAATGTCGGCATGTAGATTTTTTCAGGGCGGGACTCTTGTCAAATGTGTCAAATTTCATGCAGATCTGGGCATTTACAGCCAAGTTACAACAACTTCCTGTTTCATGGCGAATCATCGACGCCACGGACACGCCCATGGACGAAAACGCGCAGATAGCACAACTTTACATCGTCAATGCCTTTAGAAGAAACAGCAGAAATTTGAAGTCGATCAGACTAAATCCCTAGGAGGAGTTAGTTAAAGTACGTAATGAGTAAATCATCCAAAACTGTCGGTAAAATTAGCAATGGCGAACTTCCTGTCGAGTTTAGGGAATCGCTCCAAGAGACTTTTCTGTGCGTCTGGACATGATAGATGTACCACAGAAATTTCGTACAGGTCGGTCAAACATGCGGCCGGGGCTGCTTCGTTAAAGGTCACTTCCTGTTGCCAGCAGGTGGCGCTATGACTGTTGGTGAATGTCGGCATGTAGATTTGTTCAGGGCGAGACTCTTGTCAAATGTGTCGAATTTCGTGCAGATCTGGGCATTTAAGGCCAAGTTACTACAACTTCCTGTTTCATGGCGAATCATCGACGCCACGGACACGCCCATGGACGAAAACGCGCAGATAGCACAACTTTACATCGTCAATGCCTTTAGAAGAAACAGCAGAAATTTGAAGTCGATCAGACTAAATCCCTAGGAGGAGTTAGTTAAAGTACGTAATGAGTAAATCATCCAAAACTGTCGGTAAAATTAGCAATGGCGGACTTCCTGTCGAGTTTAGGGCATTGCTCCAAGAGACTTTTCTGTGTGTCTGGACATGATCGATGTACCACAGAAATTTCGTACAGGTCGGTCAAACATGCGGCCGGGGCTGCTTCGTTAAAAGTTACTTCCTGTTGCCAGCAGGTGGCGCTATGACTGTTGGTGAATGTTGGCATGTAGATTTGTTCAGGGCGAGACTCTTGTCAAATGTGTCGAATTTCGTGCAGATCTGGGCATTTACAGCCAAGTTACTACAACTTCCTGTTTCATGGCGAATCTTCGACGCCACGGACACGCCCATCGACGAAAACGCACAGATAGCACAACTTTACATCGTCAATGCCTTTAGAAGGCACAGCAGAAATTTGAAGTCGATCCGACTAAATCCCTAGGAGGAGTTCGTTAAAGTACGGAGTGTGTAAATCGTCCAAAAATGGCCGCCAAATTCAAAATGGCGGACTTCCTGTCGAGTTTAGGGTATGGGTTCTTGAGGCTTTTTTGTGCATCTTGATATGATACACGTCCCCACCAAATTTCGTGCATGTAGGTTGAACGTGGACGAGGGGCTAATTTTTTCCAATTTTCTAGGTGGCGCTAGCGTGCCATTTTGCCACGCCCATCCGCGAAACCCACAAAATACGAAATTTTTCACCAGTCCTGACATGCGTGCCGAATTTGGTGAGTTTTTGAGCATGTTGCAGCCCCGAAAATGGCGCTTACTTTGCAGAAAAAAAAAAAAAATTAAAGCTACAAGCAGCGATGGGCGGGCCCTCGCACCTGTAGCGCCTCGGGTTGTGAGGCGGCCGCGTTGCATATTCTGGAGCTCAGCCGGTGCGCCTGTGAATTTACTACGCTTCATTAAAGGCCACTTCCTGTTGCCAGCAGGTGGCGCTATGACTGTTGGTGAATGTCGGCATGTAGATTTGTTCAGGACGGGACTCTTGTCAAATGTGTAAAATTTCTTGCAGATCTGGGCATTTACAGCCAAGTTAATACAACTTCCTGTTTTATGGCGAATCATAGACGCCACGGACACGCCCATCGACGAAAATGCGCAGATAGCACAACTTTACATCATCAATGCCTTAAGAAGGCACAGCAGAAATTTGAAGTCGATCTGACTAAGTCCCTAGGAGGAGTTTGTTAAAGTACAGAGTGTGTAAATCATCCAAAAATGGCGGTAAAATTAGAAATGACTTTCTGACTTCCTGTCGAGTTTAGGGCATTGCACCAAGAGGCTTTTCTGTGCGTCTGGACATGTTAGATGTACCACAGAAATTTTGTGCATGTCGGTCAAACATGCGGCGGGGGCTGCTTCATTAAAGGTCACTTCCTGTTGCCAGCAGATGGCGCTATGACTGTGGGTGAAAGTCGGCATGTAGATTTGTTCAGGGCGGGACTCTTGTCAAATGTGTAAAATTTCGTGCAGATCTGGGCATTAACAGCCAAGTTACTACAACTTCCTGTTTCATGGCAAATCATCGACGCCACAGACACGCCCATGAACGAAAACGCGCAGATAGCTCAACTTTACATCGTCAATGCCTTTAGAAGGCACAGCAGAAATTTGAAGTCGATACGACAAAAGCTTTTTTTAAACAGGATCCTCTTCCTGTCCTATCGTTGTAAAGTGGTTTAGTTGTTCTGGAGGGGCCATAATTGAAGCTGAATCATAAGACACCATAGAGGATTGTACATTTATAATTGTGTTTCGGATGCTTTCTATTTTCTCATTGAAGTAATTCATAAAATCATTACTACTAAACTGTAACGGTATATTTTGCTCTGGTGATGTCTGTTTATTTGTTAGTCTAGCCACGGTGTTAAATAAAAACCTTGGATTATTTTGGTTATTTTCTATTAGTTTGCGGAGATGCTCAGCCCTGGCTGTTTTTGTGTCTTTGTCTTTTTATAACGTGACATGCTGTCTTTCCACGCGATTCTAAAGACCTCTAAATTAGTTTGTTTCCATTTACGCTCTAACTTACGGGTTTCTCTCTTGATAGCATGCGTAGCACTGTTGTACCAGGGTGCTTTAGTTTTCTCTCTAACCTTTTTTAATCTAATTGGTGCAACAATATCTAATGTACTAGTGAAAATGGTGCTTAAACTGCTAGTCATTTCCTCTAATTCATCTGTTTGTTTGGGTTCATTTAGCAGCTTAGATAGATCAGGTAAGCTATTTGAGAATCTATCTATAGTGGTTGGAAGGATTGTTCTGCCTGGTCTCTAACGTGGCGCAACATGACATATTTCAGCAGTACGTAATATGCAAGTCACCATGTAATGATCAGCGACGTCATCGCTTTGCGGTATAATATCTATATCAGTTGGATTTGTTCCATATGATATAATTAAATCTAGTGTATGATTTAGACGATGAGTGGGTGCACTGACATTTTGTTTGACCCCAAAGGAGTTTAATAAGTCTGTAAACGCAGCCCCTAAAGCATCATTTGTATTATCTACGTGTATGTTAAAATCGAACAATTATTGCTTTATCGACATTCACCAATAGATCCGATAGAAAGTCTGCGAACTCTTTTAGGAATTCAGCATATCGCCCTGGAGGTCTATATACAGTAGCCAAGGCTAGAGATAATATGGATTTCCTTCTTACATCTAAGAGCGTAACATTTAGCACAAGTACTCCAAATGAATTAAACCTGTGACCTGTTTTCTGAGTAATATTAAAAATATCTTTATAGATTGTTGCAACACCGCCGCCACGACCAATCAGTAAAGGCTCATGTTTATACCAACTTAAAATTTACCAACTTACCACAAATAATTTGTGCTATAGATACTTTAAACTAGGGCTGGGCGATATGGCCAAAAAATCATATCTCGATATTTTTTGGTCAAATGGCGATATACGATATATATCTCGGTACTTTCTACGTTTTCTATTTAGATAAAGAAAATCTTTATATTAAAAAAAAATAAATAAATATATATATATATATATATATATATACAGTATATTCACATTCGGCCCAATGATATCCTACAAACAATGTTGATATTGAAGGATATGGAAACAAATATAATATAGGCTATGCAATATATTATGTGCAAAAAGCTTTTGTTTTTATATTGACTAAAAGCTAAACTAAAAATGAAAATAAAAACAAAAACAAAAGCACAAACTAATTATATTAGCCTGCATTTGATTACCCCATTATAATCACTTTCACTTTCATTAAAAATATATACTTGTAGGTTTAAAATTCCACATATGGCACATTTATTTTCTCCAACAACAAATATTTTAGCAATATGTTTATTTTAGTCAGAATTATTGCGTACTACGTAGTACTATTCACGCGCATGCGCGCGCCGGCGCTCGTTCAAGGAAGCATGAATTTTAGCGGAGATTCACTTGCAGAAGCTCGTCCTCTTCTGACATGGACATATTTGTTGTGAAATGGACATATTTGCTTTACTTTCTAACATTTACAGATGGAGAATATGTGAAATGTAAGTTGAGCACTGAGGAAAGCACATCTCAAACGCATTAAACAGCGCAAGTATATCTGTCAGTCAGCAACAGTGTCTGTCAGAGCATTTGACAGGGCGGCAAGCTGCCTTAAACTTGTTAACTATATCAAAGTGATTTTGACGCAATTAATATAAGCTTGTGTCATGGTTAGGACAAATTGTACTACGTTGCCTAGCTACTTTCACTGCAGCAGCTCACACTGCAAACTCCGCTATTTTTCAGATGTGCTCATATCAAACTACTGTATCGATATAAACGGTATTGCCTCATTCCATATCGTTTCAAAAAATATAACGATACATCGTACATATTCGATATATCGCCCAGCCCTACTTTAAACCCACAATTAATTTGCTTGTTGAGGAGAGGCAAGGCACCAAGTTCTAAATTTACCAAAGCAGGGGTGATATTTTATATTTTGTATCTCACTATTTTACTAAAAACATGTAATATAGATTACATTTAATATTTAATTTGTAGTATTACTTGAATAATGACAGGAACACCTTTAAAATTCGATAAAATATATATTTATATTTTTAAATGGAAAAATTCACCACTGAGTTGGGACCACTACAGGCCCTTGGTTGATAGTCACATGTAAAACCATGCATGTCTCCTCAGTACCATGGTTAAAAGTTAAAAAAATACATTTATATTTTTTTCCCACAGATTCTTTCTCACAAGGTGAACCCAGAGTGTTGGGACTGGCTATGATCCCCGGCCATCATGTGGTTTCTATAGAAGTGGAATCTGAAAGCCTTCAGACCACCACCCATGGACTCTGACAACTTAAGAGACATTTGGGGTCACCATATGGACTATAGAGAATTTAGTTTCCATGCACACTTTGTATCTGCAACTACAGAGATAGCAGAAGAGCTGGAGTTGTAACCCAATAGGATTTTTCCCAGTGTGTGTGTGTGTGTGTGTGTGTGTTTTTCTTTTTTTCTTCAGGGAAATGCAATACACAGTGGTTTGGACCTCTGTGTTGAAACAAAAATTATTAATAACAGTGTGACTTGTAAACTGTACCCTTTTGCTTGTTTGTTTGCTTTGTGAGCAGTGCACATTGTGTATGTAATTCTATGGATATTGCAATTTTTCAATAAGAGTTTAATAATCAATCTGATATTTGTATGATGTCATTGCACCATTTATTAATATTTCCTCATAACCTCATATCACCAGCAGAGGTCATTCACAGACCTTATTCTTTTACATGTTGATTATAATTGCACATAAACAAAATGACATCTTTCAACTGCTAAAATTACGAGAGTGCAAATAATTATATATGCATACATATATCTCAATACATTACAAAATTAAAAGGATTTTTATTTTACTGAATTCATATCTATGGATATAGAAAAAGAATGACTAAATACCATCTTGGTTATTTAGTTATCCAATATAATTGTCAAGTTAATGTAAAATGAAAATATATACAGTATATTTTAGCATTATCAAAATCTCACTGCTCTTTTCTTGTAAATTCTTGTACACAACAATTATTTACTGCATGCAAATACTTTTATCATTGACCAAATATACAATTATAACTTTAGTTTGCAGTGGATATAAAAAGTCTGCACACCTGGTTTGCGTCACAAAAACAGCTGTTTTTTTTTTGTGATGTAAGAACTGCAAGTTAAATCATATCAAAATCTTTAATGTAAAAATTACATTTTTTACATTTTAAAATTTCATCAGAGAAGCATGGTGGTGGCAGCATCATGCTTTTGAGCTGATTTTTTTTTTTCTTCAGTTGGAACTGGGGGGTGCTTCTCAATACTCAAATTGAGGTGATAGCACTCAAGTTTCCTCGCTCCTCTGACCTCCAGCCTGTGACCTGGAAACCGATTGAATTCAGCCATATTAAAGGACATCTCAGTTAGCTAATTGCACCATGACGAGGCGAGGAACATGGAGTGAGTAAGCATCCAGAGGAGCTGTGCGCTAGGATGCACAGGTGTATCCTATAAAGAAGTTTTTCTTGACGAGAAACCTGGTATAAATTCTCCTCCCCCTTCACATCTGTCATAATACTTTTAATTTATGCTTTACATTTGCAGTTTAAATAAACCATATATCAACAGGGCATCTTGCTTTATTTTTATTATTTATTATTTTTTTAAAGGTCCCATGACATGGGGTTATTTTATTTTTTTATAATGTTTCCTGGGTTGCCTTTTTTTTTTAGATCAAACATAGTCATAATTTAGAAATAAAAGGCAATTTTCCTAGCCTGATTTTAGCCTCTGATTTGAACGCTCTGTTTGAAGGGGCGTGTCTGCTGTGGGATTCAGTGTAGCCAGCCACTGCTGTGATTGGCTGACATGCTTGCATATGCAATAGCTATGTATTACATGCAAAACTTTCTCGAACACTTTTACTACAGCTATTATAGGTTTTTACTTTACAGCTATCGAGATTAACGAATTGTGAAGTTTTTAAGTATTTAGATCTATTCCCATCACATAAAATGTTGCCATGATAAGCATTGAGCAAGCAGATGACAGTGTGTTGATCACGAGAAATAAGGATCTTATCTTTATTGCAACGCAGTTTCTGAACTCTCTGTAATGCTTTCACCAATGCAAACACGATGATGTACATACAAGAGCTTCGTTGTGCAGTGTTGATTCCATAACGAATTGTCCAGATAAACTTGAGCTGTGTGGAAAGATTGTTCTTTGATCGCTTTCTGTATAATTTGTTCAGAATTTAAATAAGATTATTTTCATCCTATTAAAAGAAACGATGTGAAGTTGATATTTTAGTCAATGGCTTGACTTACTAATGCATAAACAGTATTAAACCATTTTGAGAGAAAGATAAACTTACCTGTCTGAACTTGAACAATTAGGCTACACATGAGAAATTGTTGCTTGGTAGCTCGATCGATTTATTTTCAGACGTTCATCGAGTTGAGGAAACAGTTGTCGGTGAAATATTTGGACTATACAAAACTTTGGGAAGTTGTGTCGGCGCATTTCCAGAGAAAAAAAAAACCCATTGTTTCTTCAGAGGCTTGGATGACGGAACTAATCAAATCGTGCTCGCGCGTTCGTACTCCTTAGTTCATTTTCTCATGGGTGAGCCAAATTGGCTTTATGCACAGCTGCACTACTTCCTGAATTTCAGCCAGCTCCTTGTTTCCTGTCTGCCATTATTGGATACATTGATTAATTCAGGTGTGCTTGACCTCAGTAGTCATGGCAACAATAATCAGCCACACCTGTATTAATCAATTTTGCCCAATAATGGCAGACAGGAAACAAGGAGTTGGCTGAAGTTCAGGAAGTAGTGCAGCTGTGCATAAAGCCCATTCTCCGGGCGGGCAAAGCAGAGAAAGGGGAGGTAACCTTTCTCGTTATGAAGTAATAACAAGGAGATTCAAGATCAGCGTGTCTGAGCTGCAGAGAAAAGAAAAATAGCCAAAGCTCGGTTTACACCAATTGAAAATTCTAGACACGAGGGGACCAAATACAGGCTAGGGAACTAATGTTAAAAAACCTCAGAAAGTGAAAATTTCATGTCAAGGGACCTTTAAATAACCAAACTTTAACAACATGACTTTCCCACATATGACCTTGAAGCTACATCAATTATTCCATCTGCCACTGTCAAAAACTTAATTCTTCTACATCTATCATTCTTAACCCTTCACTGACCTTCAACGCTTATATTAGTCAACTCTGTAAAGCTGCAATTTTTTTCAACTTTGCCATATTGCCAAACTCCATCCTTATCACTTGTACACGCGTTAATCACATCTCTACCCGATTATTGTAATGTTCTTTTTTCTGGACTACTTGCACAATCTATCTCGCATTTGCAATATATTCAAAACTCTGCCGCAAGATTGCTAACATGCACTAAACGATCTGCTCATATCACTCCTATTCTGTTTAACCTCCATTGGCTACCTGTCTTCTCGTGTTACTTACAAAATTCTTCTGCTTACCTTTAAGTCACTCAATGGTCTTGCTCCTTCCTAGCTCTCTGACTTACTTTCTCATATTCCTTTTCAACTTCTCCGTACTTCTGGCTGTGAACATCTGTGAGCCGAGATTTCGTCTATCATCTACGCTGCCCTACAAAGGCAAAGTGCAGTAACTACGCAAACAAAGAAACAGAGAAAAAGGCCTTTAAAGTTTTTATACCAGCCAGGCAAACATGTTATGGGTAGATTCAGTGGCGCAAAAAGTGGGTATGCGCTATATGCGGCGCATAGGGGCGCAGCACAATGGGGGGCGCCAAAGCGATGGTAAAAAAAAAAAAAAATTATATATAGGCTATTGTATTTCTATATGTAGCTGCCGTTGTGCGTTTCTAAATCATTTCTGCATTCCTTCAATGTTATATAAAATTTTAGAGGACTAACAGCCAGGCTAGAGTAGGCGCCCTCATGGAGAAGGGGGGCGGGTAATATCGCGAGCGGGCGAGGGCGCCGTGAGCGCTGAGCGAGCAGGTACGAGTAGTTAGTTGTCGTCGAAAAAGATGGATAAAACAAAATGCTGTGGTGCTAAAAATAGAAAAAGAAAGAGAAAAAGGGAGATGGCATGTCAATTGATGCGACAGCAGCTAAATAACTGCATGCATTGCTGAAATCCAACAGGTTTCCAACAATACATTTCATCCTTTTTAATTTATTTGTCTTAACGGCCCACAAAACTCAAATTGTTGCTGCATACCCCTCTGAAACTGGGTAGTTGCGCCCCTGGGTAGATTATGTGGTAATGCATCTCCAAAACGGGACATAATTTAACCCAGATATTTTTTTCACAAGACAGAACACATGTCATAAAGCCCATTACAAGTCTTAACTCATTTTTGACCAAATGTGTAGTTACTGCGCTTTGCCTTTTTGTAGGGCAGTAGGTCTTTCTCCATTATAGCCCCTAAGCTATGGAACTCTCTTCCCCTGGCTCTTAGGACAACAACCACACTTTTTCTTAAACATTTTACATAACTTACAGTCATAATGTATCCTTACGTACCATTATTATTTTGCCCACCTTCTATGGTGTCTGTAAATAGTGTTTGTTTCTGTCATAGTGTCTGTTTGATTTCGATTGTAATGCAATATGCAACTGCAATCTCTCAACATTTTGGACTGGGCAAATGTCTACTGTCCATTTATTATGTATAATCTGACTGTTCTTCTCTGTTATTGTGAAGCATCATTGAGCTCGGGAAAGGCACAATATAAAATAAACATATTATGCTTATTATTATAACATAAGGACAGATCTTTTGAGCACAGCTGATGACGCTTTGAAGTGACACTTGAGTGATCAAGAATATTCCAATATTTAAAAAAAATATTTCCTTCAATTCATCCTTCCTCATTTTCTTTCCGTGCAGCCTTCCCTTGCATTCTACAGGGGGTGGATATGTGAGGAAAACAAATGAAGATGCACACATAAGAAATTAGAAGCACCCACAGGTTTTAGTGAAGATGGAGGGAATCTTGAATAGCTCCAAGTTCTGGATGATTTTGGCAAGGAACCTTCTGGGGTTTGCTAGAAAGCTGAAAATTAAGAGAACTTTCACTTTTCAGCATAACAATGATCCCAAACACATTTAAATCAACAATAGAATGGCTTCACCAAAGAAAGATTAATGTGGAATTGCCCAATCAGGATCCAGACCTGAATTCTATAGAAAAGCTTTGGGGGGACCTGAAGAGGGCTGTGTGCAGGTGATGTCCTCGCATCTGAAACATTTTTGCAAAAAAGAGTGGTAAAATATTCCCATCAAGATGTGCCAAGCTGATAAACTCTTATCCAAACAGATAGTGATGTGATAACATCAGAGGGGGCTTCAGTATTAGTTTAGTGGTGTGCCCACTTATGCAGTTAGTTATTCCAAGTTTTTTTCTCTCTTAAATTTCTCATTCCACAGGTTACCGTTTTACATTAAACATGCAAACATTCTGTTATGATTTTTTTGTTTATTTTTTTACATCACAAAAATTTACCATTTTAACAGGGGTGTAGACTTACCCACTGTGCATGGTTCCATTCTCCAGTAAACTTAAGACTGTTTACAAAAGAAATGTGACATCTGCTTTACAACAGATTCTGACCATACTGCATAGAAAAGGTATTGCATTGTGTTCTGTTTTGTGATGTCTGTAACTTGACTTTGTTGATCCCATGTATTTATTACCTTCCTTATGCCAGCTAAATACTGCACAATTTTGGCAACAACCTACAGCCAAGATAAGGGAAAGGGCAAGGGTGGGAGAGCCATGGCTTCAGCAAGCAACAGTTCTAACCTTTATATTCTTTTTTTTTCTGTATCACTTCTCCAGTATGTTTGGTAGTTCAGACAGTGATGTCGGCGATTCTTTGTTTCAAAAAGTATAGCACCTAAATTGTACCCCAGATAGTCATGTAGTCTGAGAAAAGCAGCGTTCCAATGAATTTAAAAATGGTGTAATGTGTTCCCAGCATTAAACATATGCATTCAGTCTATATTGGCTGGAAGGGACACGGGATATTGTAGAGGCGGTTTGAACCATATGTCTGGATTGAGCCTGGTAGGAGCATGATCTGAAGTTCTGAAGATGTGATCTGAGCAAACAAAATAGAAATAGAAATTTAGTACAGACATTTTTTAAAAACAACTGATGCAGGGCCGTCCTTTAGGGGCCCAGCGGCGGATGCAAACAGACCAACCAAGGGGGCCCGCTTCCTCTAAGGGTGCTTTCACACCTGCCTTGTTTAGTTCGGTTGAATCGCACTAGAGTTCGTTTTCCGAATTGGTGTCGTTCGTTTGGGCAGGTGTGAATGCAGCAATCACACTCGGGTGCGCATCAAAAGCTGCCGCATGTATGCTTTCAAACGAACTCTGGAGCGGTTCGTTTGTGGTGAGAACGTGATCCGAACTCGAACAGACCCAACTGCCAAATAACTGTGCATTTTTGGACTAAACCAGCTGCCGTAGTCAGCCGCGCTGTGCGTTATGGGATGAGGAATAATGTTTGTTGACATTTTGCACTAGCATTGTAGCTCGCGGACAAACGTGGAGTTCTGAGGAGGTGCGGAGCCTCATAGAGATATGGTCTGATGACCATATTAGCTCCCAACTCTCCAAAACTCATAAAAACAGTGAAATATTTGCTTTGTTTAGTAAACAGCTCAGGGAAAGGGGGTTTCAGAGATCTGTGGAACAGTGCAGGGTAAAGGCAAAGAAACTTCGCCAGCAATACATAAAAGTGAGGGATGCACTTAATAAAACAGGCAGCTCTGGTAAGGAGAAAGACAAGTTCCCTTGGTACGATGACCTCGACAAAATTCTTGGGACAAAACTCGACGTTGATCCGGTGGATGTTGTTGAGTCCCATGATAGTCCAACATTGCCATCGTCAGATTCCAATGCTACTGATGCTAACACAATTGACCAGGCTACTGCATCTGATACAGAGATTGACGGTGAGTTTATTTACTTTTTTTCACTTGCCAATACCAACCACTTTTTCAGAAGTTATTGTGTAACTTTAGGCATTGATAGTGGTATACTTTGTCTTGCCAATATGACAGCCAGTCAGGAAACTTATCATTAACCAAAAGCAGCTATATAAACCTGTTGCTTGTTTGCATGCTATATTCTCTTTGTTATACACACACACACACACACACACACACACACACAGCATTTTGTATATTGCAACATGTACTGAAATATATTTTTTATCTGTATTAATCAAAATTGTGTAATTCAATAAACAGTGGGAGATTCAAGAAGCATATCCTGTGATGCAGATGACACAAACACCGTTGCTGATGCTGGACTGTCTTTTGAATCAAGCACAGAGAGCAGTGTCAATGAAGAAGGCATCAGAGGAGGGAGACTGCCCATTCCTGGAGCCAAGGCTTGAAAAAGGAAAAGAAAGCCTTGCCAAGCTGATGATGGAATCCAGGCATATACACTCACCGGCCACTTTATTAGGTACCCCATGCTAGTAACGGGTTGGACCCCCTTTTGCCTTCAGAACTGCCTCAATTCTTCGTGGCATAGATTCAACAAGGTGCTGGAAGCATTCCTCAGGGAGTTTGGTCCATATTGACATGATGGCATCACACAGTTGCCGCAGATTTGTCGGCTGCACATCCATGATGCGAATCTCCCGTTCCACCACATCCCAAAGATGCTCTATTGGATTGAGATCTGGTGACTGTGGAGGCCATTTGAGTACAGCGAACTCATTGTCATGTTCAAGAAACCAGTCTGAGATGATTCCAGCTTTATGACATGGCGCATTATCCTGCTGAAAGTAGCCATCAGAAGTTGGGTACATTGTGGTCATAAAGGGATGGACATGGTCAGCAACAATACTCAGGTAGGCTGTGGCGTTGCAATGATGGTCAATTGGTACCAAGGGGCCCAAAGAGTGCCAAGAAAATATTCCCCACACCATGACACCACCACCACCAGCCTGAACCGTTGATACAAGGCAGGATGGATCCATGCTTTCATGTTGTAGACGCCAAATTTTGACCCTACCATCCGAATGTCGCAGCAGAAATCGAGACTCATCAGACCAGGCAACGTTTTTCCAATCTTCTATTGTCCAATTTCGATGAGCTTGTGCAAATTGTAGCCTCAGTTTCCTGTTCTTAGCTGAAAGGAGTGGCACCCGGTGTGGTCTTCTGCTGCTGTAGCCCATCTGCCTCAAAGTTCGACGTACTGTGCGTTCAGAGATGCTCTTCTGCCCACCTTGGTTGTAACGGGTGGTTATTTGAGTCACTGTTGCCCTTCTATCAGCTCGAACCAGTCTGGCCATTCTCCTCTGACCTCTGGCATCAACAAGGCATTTCCGCCCACAGAACTGCCGCTCACTGGATGTTTTTTCTTTTTCGGACCATTCTCTGTAAACCCTAGAGATGGTTGTGCGTGAAAATCCCAGTAGATTAGCAGTTTCTGAAATACTCAGACCAGCCCTTCTGGCACCAACAATCATGCCACGTTCAAAGTCACTCAAATCACCTTTCTTCCCCATACTGATGCTCGGTTTGAACTGCAGGAGATTGTCTTGACCATGTCTACATGCCTAAATGCACTGAGTTGCCGCCATGTGATTGGCTGCTTAGAAATTAAGTGTTAACGAGCAGTTGGACAGGTGTACCTAATAAAGTGGCCGGTGAGTGTATGATGGACAACAGAATAATGCTAAATGAATTGCATAGAGCTGAACAGACTCAGGTGGCTCAAGAGGCTTCCAGTTTTGAGAGAATACTTAAGGCACAACATGAGGCCGAGGAGAGAAGATTCCTGATGATGCACGCACAGCAACAGGCCACTAACCAGATGTTTCTTAATCTAATGGGTACTATTGCAAGTGCGTTGAATCCTGATCAGCATCAACCTCATTCCACAAATATGCCAGCCTGGACCATGACACCCCCACCAACATCAATCACTAGTCCTTGGTCCCAGCCATTTAGAGTAGCTACACAATGCATTTTGAATGTTGTGTTGCTGCTAGGGATGCACCGATCCACATTTTTTCACTTCCGATCTGAGCCCGATACCTGACTTTGGATATCGGCCGATACCGATACTTTTCCGATACCAGAGCTGTGTTTGCTTTAACATTATTTATCATTATTGTTGATTTTATATGATGCTGAAATAAACTCCTCTCTACAAGCAAGGATGATATGTACGTATGTATGTCAATATATATATATATATATAATAGATATAAACAATAGATAGACAATTAAACAAAGATACACATTATACAGGCCTACACAGTGCTTTAATTTCAGGAAGGTCTACTAACATTATTCAGGTATGGTCTAAAAAGAATTATAATAAAATAATCAAAAGTAAAATAGCACTGCAAAGTTTATCATAGATAGATTTATGCTTATTAAAGCTGAAGTTATTCATTCAAGAGCTGTGAGTGATTTTCTCTTTGCCTTTTGTTGTCAGTAATGTCGCAATCGTCACATTTATACTGCTGCCCCTTTAAGAACAAGTTCAGATTTCATATCCACTGATGCTCCATATTTTCTCCCAACTATTTCCATAACTACGTTCATTTTAGACATAAACGGTGGTTTAAGTGTTAATCTCCAAGCCGGTCGTTTTGACATTTTTGTGCAGGCTACATTTGATCGTTTAGACGCGCATATGAAGCCCAGAGTATAATTTGCTTGTCTTGTTGCGGTCTGTTACGGAGCGCGCGCCGCAGTGGGAACAGAATCTCTTGCGCAAATTTTGTGCTTTTAATAGCTCTTTTTATTATTAAAAGCGTCCCGCAATTTAGCAACAGCAGAGACTGCATTTTACAACAATCACAGATCGTGCTGATTCTGTCTTAAAGTTTGAGTTTTAAGGAGAAATGATAGTGCACCGCCGCGATGGGAAGTTGGCTAGACAGAATGCGGCTATTGTTTTTAATGGTTTTTTACCTCAATACATTCTTTAATCTTTGGAAATCAGACTAATATCACAGATCTAAAATGTAACCAGGCTACGTTTGAATGTTTAGTTCTGTGCTCTGTCGTCACGCATTAAGCAGGGCTGTCGTGTTGTGCTTGCTGTGGCACCGCGTGAGAGATCTCTCTTTCTCTTCTCTGGAGTGCGAATTGCAAACATGCATCACAGACAAATAGTTTAATTTATACGGCTTTGCAAACATTGCATTTTGCTGTCTTGCTCTGCTGCGGTGTTTCCAGTGAAGTATTTCCACCATAGGATTTCCATACAGCGAACATGTTGGTAGCTCAATGCTGTCCTGCTAGCTGGCTGCAAACTGCGGAATGGATTTCCTGAGCAGGGGTGTATGTGTCTCATTGAGCCCTATTTTTTACAGTCTATGATTGAGCTGCACCTCCGTTCAGGATATCCATTCCACAGTTTGCTAGCAGACTAGCAGGCCCGGGGAATCCCTTTTGGAGTCATTTCAGCAGCCAACGTTAAAGCGCAGACATGGATCATAAATATCGGATTTCTCCGCAGGTTGGATCGGAAATATACGTGAATTACGATGGTATCGGGTCCCGATACCGATAATGGATCGGATCGGCCCCATCCCTAGTTGCTGCTGTGCGTGTCCCAGGTCATCATGTACAGGTCCTTCTTCCTCTGCAGCGGTTTCTCCCTCCGCAACGGTTTTTCCCTCCAGAAATTTCTCTTTCTGTATCTCACAGAAATTATGCAGCACACAGCAATCAGACACAATACGGCTTACAAAAGTTATGTGGGTCTCATTTTCTTTAAGAAGGCAATGCCAGCGTCCTTTGAGGCACCCAAAGGCACGCTCTACAGTCATACGTGCTTGGCTCAATCTGTGGTTGAAGTTGAGCTGCTGTGGTGTTACTGCTCCTCCCTCTGGGTAAGCTTTCATGAGCCAAGTTAGTAGAGGGTAAGCCGAATCACCCAAAAGAAAGAGAGGCACGTCGACCCCCTCAAACGTTTCAGACCAATGAGTTAAAAGAGTGCCTGCACTACCACGCTCCTACAATGATGAGAGGGAGAAAACACGACATGTATCTTGCCTGCTCGTCCAACATTAATGTCCCAAAATCTCATTCTATGGTCCACCACACCTTGCAAAATG